ATCGATAATTACCTTAAACGTGAATGGATTAAATGCTCCAACCAAAAGACAGAGGCTTGCTGAATGGATACAAAAACAAGACCCATATATATGCTGTCTACAAGAGACTCACTTCAGAACTAGGGACACATACAGACTGAAACTGAGGGGATGGAAAAAGATATTCCTGCAAATGGAAATCAAAAGAAAGCTGGAGTAGCTATACTCATATCAGATAAAACAGACTTTAATGTAAAGAATGTTACAAGAGACAAGGAAGAACATTACATAATGATCAAGGGATCAATCCAAGAAGAAGATATAACAATTACAAATATATATGCACCCAACATAAGAGCACCTCAATACATAAGGCAACTGCTAACAGCTATGAAAGAGGAAATCGACAGTAACACAATAATAGTGGGGAACTTTATCACCAATGGACAGATCATCCAAAATGACAGTAAATAAGGAAACAGAAGCTTTAAATGACACAACAGACCAGATAGATTTAATTGATATTTATGGGACATTCCATCCCAAAACAGCAGATTACACTTTCTTCTCAAGTGCCCATGGAACATTCTCCAGGATCGATCACATCTTGGGTCACAAATCAAGCCTCAGTAAATTTAAGAAAACTGAAATCATATCAAGCATCTTTTCTGACCACAAGGCTATGAGATTAGAAATGCATTACAGGGAAAAAAACGTAAAAAACAAAAACACATGGAGGCTAAACAATACATTACTAAATAACCAAGAGATCACTGAAGAAATCAAAGAGGAAATCAAAAAATACCTAGAGACAAATGACAATGAAAACACGATGATCCAAAACCTATGGGATGCAGCAACAGCAGTTCTAAGAGGGAAGTTTATAGCTATACAAGCCTACCTCAAGAAACAAGAAAAATCTCAAATAAACAATCTAAACTTACACCTAAAGCAACTAGAGAAAGAAAAAACAAAACCCAAAATTAGCAAAAGGAAAGAAATCATAAAGATCAGAGCAGAAATAAATGAAATAGAAACAAAGAAAACAATAGCAAACATTAATAAAACTAAAAGCTGGTTCTTTGAGAAGATAAGCAAAATTGATAAACCATTAGCCAGACTCATCAAGAAAAAGAGGGAGAGGACTCAAATCAATAAAATTAGAAACGAAAAAGGAGAAGTTACAACAGACAACGCAGAAATACAAAGCATCTTAAGAGATTACTACAAGCAACTCTATGCCAATAAAATGGACAACCTGGAAGAAATGGACAAATTCTTAGAAATGCACAACCTGCCAAGACTGAATCAGGAAGAAATAGAAAATATGAGCAGACCAATCACAAGCACTGAAATTGAAACTGTGATTAAAAATCTTCCAACAAACAAAAGCCCAGGACCAGATGGCTTCACAAGCGAATTCTATCAAACATTTAGAGAAGAGCTAACACCTATCCTTCTCAAACTCTTCCAAAATATAGCAGAGGGAGGAACACTCCCAAATTCCTTCTACGAGGCCACCATCACCTTGATACCAAAACCAGACAAGGATGTCACAAAGAAAGAAAACTACAGACCAATATCACTGATGAACATAGATGCAAAAATCCTCAACAAAATACTAGCAAACAGAATCCAACAGCACATTAAAAGGATCATACACCATGATCAAGTAGGGTTTATTCCAGGAATGCAAGGATTCTTCAATATACGCAAATCTATCAATGTGATAAACCATATTAACAAACTGAAGGAGAAAAACCATATGATCATCTCAATAGATGCAGAGAAAGCTTTTGACAAAATTCAACACCCATTTATGATAAAAACCCTGCAGAAAGTAGGTATAGAGGGAACTTTCCTCAACATAATAAAGGCCATATATGACAAGCCCACAGCCAACATCATCCTCAATGGTGAAAAACTGAAAGCATTTCCACTAAGATCAGGAACAAGACAAGGTTGCCCACTCTCACCACTGTTATTCAACATAGTTTTGGAAGTTTTAGCCACAGCAATCAGAGAAGAAAAGGAAATAAAAGGAATCCAAATCGGAAAAGAAGAAGTAAAGCTGTCACTGTTTGCAGATGACATGATACTATACATAGAAAATCCTAAAGATGCTACCAGAAAACTACTAGAGCTAATCAATGAATTTGGTAAAGTAGCAGGATACAAAATTAATGCACAGAAATCCCTGGCATTCCTATATACTAATGATGAAAAATCTGAAAGTGAAATCAAGAAACCACTCCCATTTACCACTGCAACAAAAAGAATAAAATATTTAGGAATAAACCTACCTAAGGAGACAAAAGACCTATATGCAGAAAATTATAAGACACTGATGAAAGAAATTAAAGATGCTACAAATAGATGGAGAGATATACCATGTTCTTGGATTGGAAGAATCAACATTGTAAAAATGACTCTACTACCCAAAGCAATCTACAGATTCAATGCAATCCCTATCAAACTACCACTGGCATTTTTCACAGAAATAGAACAAAAAATTTCGCAATTTGTATGGAAACACAAAAGACCCTGAATAGCCAAAGCTATCTCAAGAACGAAAAAAGGAGCAGGAGGAATCAGGCTCCCTGACTTCAGACTATACTACAAAGCTACAGTAAACAAGACAGTATGGTACTGGCACAAAAACAGAAAGATAGATCAATGGAGCAGGATAGAAAGCCCAGAGATAAACCCACGCACATATGGTCACCTTATCTTTGACAAAGGTGGCAGGAATGTACAGTGGAGAAAGGACAGCCTCTTCAACAAGTGGTGCTGGGAAAACTGGACAGATACATGTAAAAGAATGAGATTAGATCACTCCCTAACACCATACACAAGAATAAGCTCAAAATGGATTAAAGACCTAAATGTAAGGCCAGAAACTATCAAACTCTTAGAGGAAAACATAGGAAGAACACTCTTTGACATAAATCACAGCAAGATCTTTTTTGATTCACCTCGTAGAGTAATGGAAATAAAAACAAAAATAAACAAATGGGACCTAATGAAACTTCAAAGCTTTTGCACAGTAAAGGAAACCATAAACAAGACCAAAAGACAACCCTCAGAATGGGAGAAAATATTTGCACATGAAGCAACCGACAAAGGATTAATCTCCAAAATTTACAAGCAGCTCATGCAGCTCAATAACAAAAAAACAAACAACCCAATCCAAAAATGGGCAGAAGACCTAAATAGACATTTCTCCAAAGAAGATATACAGACTGCCAACAAACACATGAAAGAATGCTCAACGTCACTAATCATTAGTGAAATGCAAATCAAAACTACAATGAGATATCATCTCACACCAGTCAGAATGGCCATTATCAAAAAATCTAGAAACAATAAATGCTGGAGAGGGTGTGGAGAAAAGGGAACACTCTTGCACTGCTGGTGGGAATGTGAATTGGTTCAGCCACTATGGAGAACAGTATGGTAATGTGAATTGGTTCAGCCACTATGGAGAACAGTATGGGAATGTGAATTGGTTCAGTCACTATGGAGAACAGTATGGGAATGTGAATTGGTTCAGCCACTAAGGAGAACAGAACAGTTCCTTAAAAAACTACAAATAGAACTACCATATGACCCAGCCATCCCACTACTGGGCATATACCCTGAGAAAACCGAAATTCAAAGAGTCATGTACCAAAATGTTCATTGCAGCTCTATTTACAATAGCCTGGAGATGGAAACAACCTAAGTGCCCATCATGGGATGAATGGATAAAGAAGATGTGGCACATATATACAATGGAATATTACTCAGCCATAAAAAGAAACGAAATTGAGCTATTTGTAATGAGGTGGATAGACCCAGAGTCTGTCATACAGAGTGAAGTAAGTCAGAAAGAAAAAGACAAATACCGTATGCTAACACATATATATGGAATTTAAGAAAAAAAAAATGTCATGAAGAACCTAGGGGTAAGGCAGGAATAAAGACGGAGACCTCCTAGAGAACGGACTTGAGGTTATGGGGAGGGGGAAGGGTGAGCTGTGACAGGGCGAGAGAGAGTCATGGACATATACACACTAACAAATGTAAGGTAGATAGCTAGTGGGAAGCAGCCGTATGGCACAGGGATATAGGCTCGGTGCTTTGTGACAGCCTGGAGGGGTGGGATAGGGAGGGTGGGAGGGAGGGAGATGCAAGAGGGAAGAGATATGGGAACATATGTATATGTATAACTGATTCACTTTGTTATAAAGCAGAAACTAACACACCATTGTAAAGCAATTATACCCCAATAAAGATGTTAAAAAAAAAAAAATATCCTGAGTATGTTGGTCACCTCGAAAGCAGGGAAAAAGGAAAGTTGTTTAACACCCACCTTACATTCATTTGCAAAGCACTCATTACTCTTCTGGCAGGAGAATGCCCTCACTGACAAGCTGTTGCACGTGTTTACTTCCCTGTGTCTGAGCAGCGCTCACTGGTCTGCGATCACGCCTGGACTTCGGGATGCTACTCTTTGCTCTCAAGTGTGGTTTATAGCTGGCTTCTCTACTCCCTATATCTGGGAGACAAACCTAGGCCATAGCCCACAGTGCAGAGGAGCTGTGGGTGGCAGTTTGAGAACATCTGGAAGGGGAAAGGTTTTCCACTGATAGCTTCTCTGTGTTGCAAAAATCATGCTCTATGTGCCTTTGTGCCCATGACAATTATATTTGGAAAAATGAGTTTTAGTTCTAGAGTATTCCTGGTGATTAATAAAGTTAATTACAGGATCTAGCTCACTCAAGAAGACTTAATTTTAATTATACTTCTTTAATATTTTGACACAGGTATCCAGCTAAAATCAACTCTTTGATTCTCACAGCACTTTATCATTCACGTAAAAGCCACAGAAATAAAAATACTGATGAAGAACCCAGTATAATCTTTATGCCACATAAGTTGAATGAAGTATGTTTTAAAATATACTAAACTAAATTTATGTGGCAAAAGTATAATATTTTTCTAAGTCCTCCAAAGATAGCTTAGTCACAGCTTCTTACCTTTGATGGAGGGCTTGGCACTGAAGCTGGAGGTTCTGGAAGCCTGAGGAGTAAAAAATAAAAATCGTAGTCATGGTTTTTCATAGACAAGCAAACAGAAAAACTGGGCCAACTTCAGACTTAGTAAGTCCTACTTTCATCTAGTCACCTCCATATATCTTAATGTTCAATCACCTCAGTGGAAAGAGTGAAATTTTTCTAAGTGAATAAATGTTCATTTGCCTCCTTAATTCTAAGTATTGGAATTGTCTGAGAAAGAACAAAATGAGAAGTCATTTGCTGAAATGGAATTGCTTTTCTTTAGCCTCTAAAAATTTGCATTTTGGTACTGTATTTTTTCATCATAAATGATGAATCTAGAATATATACAAAAGTGAAAATTATTTTAACTGTTGACAAAAAGTCATACAAACTTTACTTTTCTTGTATTAGAGTTTAATTGACATATCTTTCTCAAGTCTTTAACCAAAACTTAAAAATTTCAGCAGTAAAGAATATAAAAAAAATAGGGAGTGCTTCCGGGAAGATGGCGGAGAAGTAAGACACGGAGATCACCTTCCTCCCCACAGATACACCAGGGATACATCTACACGTGGAGCAGCTCCTACAGAACACCTACGGAACGTTGGCAGAAGACCTCAGACCTCCCAAAAGGCAAGAAATCCCCCACATAGCTGGGTAGGGCAAAAGAAAAAAGAATAAACAGAGACAAAAGGATACGGACGGGACCTGCACCAGTGGGAGGGAGCTGTGAAGGAGGAAAGGTTTCCACACACTAGAAAGCCCCTTTGTGGGCGGAGACTGCGGGAGGCAGAGGGGGAAGCTTCGGAGCCGCGGAGGAGAGCACAGCAACAGGGGTGTGGAGGGCAAAGCGGGGAGATTCCTGCACGGAGGATCGGTGCCGACCAGCACTCACCAGCCCGAGGCTTGTCTGCTCACCCGCCAGGGCGGGCGCACTTGGGAGCTGAGGCACGGCTTCGGTCGGAGCACAGGGAGAGGACTGGGGTTGGCGGCGTGAACACAGCCTGCAGGGGGTTAGTGCGCCACGGCTAGCCGGGAGGAAGTCCGGGGAAAAGTCTGGACCTGCCGAAGAGGCAAGAGACTTTTTCTTCCCTCTTTGTTTCCTGGTGCGCGAGGAGAGGGGATTAAGAGCGCTGCTTAAAGGAGCTCCAGAGACAGGCGCGAGCCGCAGCTAAAAGCGTGGACCCCAGAGACGGGCAGGAGATGCTAAGGCTGCTGCTGCTGCCACCAAGAAGCCTGTGTGCGAGCATAGGTCACTATCCACACCCCTCTTCCGGGGAGCCTATGCAGCCAACCACTGCCGGGGTCCCGGGATCCAGGGACAACTTCCCCGGGAGAACGCACGGCGCACCTCAGGCTGGTGAAACGTCACGCTGGCCTCTGCCGCCGCAGGCTCACCCCGCACTCCGTGCCCCTCCCTCCCCCCGGCCTGAGTGAGCCAGAGCCCCCGAGTCAGCTGCTCCTTTAACCCCGTCCTGTCTGCGCAAAGAACAGACGCCCTCCGGCGACCTACACGCACAGGTGGGGCCAAATCCAAAGCTGAGCCCCTGGGAGCTGTGAGAACAAAGAAGAGAAAGGGAAATCTCTCCCAGCAGCCTCAGAAGCAGCGGATTAAAGCTCCACAATCAACTTGATGTACCCTGCATCTGTGGAATACATGAATGGACAACGAATCATCCCAAATTGAGAAGGTGGACTTTGAGAGCAAGATTTATGATTTTTCCCCCTTTTCCTTTTTTTGTGAGTGTGTATGTGTATGCTTCTGTGTGAGATTTTGTCTGTATAGCTTTGCTTCCACCATTTGTCCGAAGGTTCTAAACGTCCGTTTTTTTTAAAAATTTTTTTCTTAATAATTACTTTTGATTTTAATAACTTTATTTTATTTTACTTTATCTTCGTTCTTTCTTTCCTTCCTTCCCTCTTTTAGACAACAAATCATCACAAATTGAGGAGGTGGACTTTGAGAGCAAGATTTATGATTTTTTCCCCTTTTCCTCTTTTTGTGAGTGTGTATGTGTATGCTTCTGTGTGAGATTTTGTCTGTATAGCTTTGCTTCTACCATTTGTCCTAGGGCTCTATCCCTCTTTATTTTTCTCTTAATAATTATTTTTTTATTTTAATAACTTTATTATATTTTATCTTTATTTTATTTTATCACTTTCTTTTTATCCTTCCTTCCCTCCTTCCTTCCTTCCTCCCTCCCTCCCTCCTTCCCTCCCTCCTTTCTTTCTTTCTACTTCTACTAATTCTTTCTTTCTACTTTTTCTCCCTTTTATTCTGAGCCGTGCGGATGAAAGGCTCTTGGTGCTGCAACCAGGAGTCAGTGCTGTGCCTCTGAGGTGGGAGAGCCAAGTTCAGGACACTGGTCCACAAGAGACCTCTCAGCTCCACATAATATCAAACGGCGAAAATCTCCCAGAGATCTCCATCTCAACACCAGCACCCAGCTTCACTCAACGACCAGCAAGCTACAGTGCTGAACATCCTATGCCAAACAACTAGCAAGACAGGAACACAACCCCACCCATTAGCAGAGAGGCTGCCTAAAATCACAGTAAGTCCACAGACACCCCAAAACACACCACCAGACGTGGACCTGCCCATCAGAAAGACAAGATCCAGCCTCATCCACCAGAACACAGACACTAGTCCCCTCCACCAGGAAGCCTACACAACCCACTGAACCAACCTTAGCCACTGGGGACAGACACCAAAAACAACGGGAACTACGAACGTGCAGCCTGCAAAAAGGAGACCCCAAACACAGTAAGATAAGCAAAATGAGAAGACAGAAAAACACACAGCAGATGAAGGAGCAAGATAAAAACCCACCAGACCTAACAAATGAAGAGGAAATAGGCAGTCTACCTGAAAAAGAATTCAGAATAATGATAGTAAAGATGATCCAAAATCTTGGAAATAGAATAGAGAAAAGGCAAGAAACATTTAACAAGGACCTAGAAGAACTAAAGATGAAACAACCAATGATGAACAACAAAATAAATGAAATGAAAAATACTCTAGATGGGATCAATAGCAGAATAACTGAGGCAGAAGAACGGATAAGTGACCTGGAAGATAAAATAGTGGAAATAACTACTGCAGAGCAGAATAAAGAAAAAAGAATGAAAAGAACTGAGGACAGTCTCAGAGACCTCTGGGACAACATTAAATGCACCAACATTCGAATTATAGGGGTTCCAGAAGAAGAAGAGAAAAAGAAAGGGACTGAGAAAATATTTGAAGAGATTATAGTTGAAAACTTCCCTAATATGGGAAAGGAAATAGTTAATCAAGTCCAGGAAGCACAGAGAGTCCCATACAGGATAAATCCAAGGAGAAATACACCAAGACACATATTAATCAAACTGTCAAAAATTAAATACAAAGAAATACTAAAAGCAGCAAGGGAAAAACAACAAATAACACACAAGGGAATCCCCATAAGGTTAACAGCTGATGTTTCAGCAGAAACTCTGCAAGCCAGAAGGGAGTAGCAGAACATATTTAAAGTGATGAAGGAGAAAAACCTGCAACCAAGATTACTCTACCCAGCAAGGATCTCATTCAGATTTGATGGAGAAATTAAAACCTTTACAGCCAAGCAAAAGCTGAGAGAGTTCAGCACCACCAAACCAGCTCTACAACAACTGCTAAAGGAACTTCTCTAGGCAAGAAACACAAGAGAAGGAAAAGACCTACAGTAACGAACCCAAAACAATTAAGAAAATGGGAATAGGAACATACATATCAATAATTACCTTAAATGTAAATGGACTAAATGCTACATTTACCAAAAGGCACAGATTGGCTGAATGGATACAAGAAGAAGACCCATATATTTGCTGTCTACAAGAGACCCACTTCAGACCTAGAGACACTTACAGACTGAAAGTAAGGGGATGGAAAAAGGTATTTCATGCAAATGGAAACCAAAAGAAAGCTGGAGTAGCAATTCTCATATCAGACAAAATAAGACTTTAAAGACTATTAGAAGAGACAAAGAAGGACACTACATAATGATCAAGGGATCAATCCAAGAATAAGATATAACAATTGTAAATATTTATGCACCCAACATAGGAGCACCTCAATACATAAGGCAAATACTAACAGCCATAAAAGGGGAAATCGACAGTATAACATTCATAGTAGGGGACTTTAACACCCCACTTTCACCAATGGACAGATCATCCAAAATGAAAATAAATAAGGAAACACAAGCTTTAAATGATACATTAAACAAGATGGACTTAATTGATATTTATAGGACATTCCATCCAAAAACAACAGAATACACATTTTTTTCTAGTGCTCATGGAACATTCTCCAGGACAGATCATATCTTGGGTCACAAATCAAGCCTTGGTAAATTTAAGAAAATCGAAGTTGTATCAAGTATCTTTTCTGACCACAACGCTATGAGACTAGATATCAATTACAGGAAAAGATCTGTAAAATACACAAACACATGGAGGCTAAACAATATGCTACTGAATAACGAAGTGATCACTGAAGAAATCAAAGAGGAAATTAAAAAATACCTAGAAACAAATGACAGTGGAGACACGATGACCCAAAACCTATGGGATGCAGCAAAAGCAGTTCTAAGGGGGAAGTTTATAGCAATACAAGCCTACCTTAAGAAACAGGAAACATTTCAAATAAACAACCTAAACTTGCACCAAAAGCAATTAGAGGAAGAAGAACAAAAACACCCCAAAGTTAGCAGAAGGAAAGAAATCATAAAAATGAGATCAGAAATAAATGAAAAAAACCCGAAGGAAACGATAGCAAAGATCAATAAAACTAAAAGCTGGTTCTTTGAGAAGATAAACAAAATTGATAAACCATTAGCCAGACTCATCAAGAAAAAGAGGGAGAGGACTCAAATCAATAAAATTAGAAATGAAAAAGGAGAAGTAACAACTGACACTGCAGAAATACAGAAGATCATGAGAGATTACTACAAGCAACTCTATGCCAATAAAATGGACAACCTGGAAAAAATGGACAAATTCTTAGAAATGCACAACCTGTGAAGACTGAATCAGGAAGAAATTGAAAATATGAACAGACCAATCACAAGCACTGAAATTGAAACTGTAATTAAAAATCTTCCAACAAACAAAAGCCCAGGACCAGATGGCTTCACAAGTGAGTTCTATCAAACATTTAGAGAAGAGCTAACACCTATCCTTCTCAAACTCTTCCAAAATATAGCAGAGGGAGGAACACTCCCAAATTCCTTCTACGAGGCCACCATCACCTTGATACCAAAACCAGACAAGGATGTCACAAAGAAAGAAAACTACAGACCAATATCACTGATGAACATAGATGCAAAAATCCTCAACAAAATACTAGCAAACAGAATCCAACAGCACATTAAACAGATCATACACCATAATCAAGTGGGGTTTATTCCAGGAATGCAAGGATTCAAAATACGCAGATCAATCAACATGATACACCATATTAACAAACTGAAAAAGAAAAACCATATGATCATCTCAATAGATGCAGAAAAGCTTTTGACAAAATTCAACACCCATTTATGATAAAAAACCTCCAGAAAGTAGGCACAGAGGGAACTTTCCTCAACATAATAAAGGCCATATATGACAAACCCACAGCCAACGTTGTCCTCAATGGTGAAAAACTGAAAGCATTTCCACTAAGATCAGGAACAAGACAAGGTTGCCCACTCTCACCACTGTTATTCAACATAGTTTTGGAAGTTTTAGCCACAGCAGAGAAGAAAAGGAAATAAAAGGAATCCAAATCGGAAAAGAAAAAGTAAAGCTGTCACTGTTTGCAGATGACATGATATTATACATACAGAATCCTAAAGATGCTACCAGAAAACTACTAGAGCTAATCAATGAATTTGGTAAAGTAGCAGGATACAAAATTAATGCACAGAAATCTCTGGCATTCCTATACACTAATGATGAAAAATCTGAAAGTGAAATCAAGAAAACACTCCCATTTACCATTGCAAAAAAAAGAATAAAATATTTAGGAATAAACCTACCTAAGGAGACAAAAGACCTATATGCAGAAAATTATAAGACACTGATGAAAGAAATTAAAGATGCTACAAATAGATGGAGAGATATACCATGTTCTTGGATTGGAAGAATCAACATTGTAAAAATGACTCTACTACCCAAAGCAATCTACAGATTCAATGCAATCCCTATCAAACTACCACTGGCATTTTTCACAGAACTAGAACAAAAAATTTCACAACTTGTATGGAAACACAAAAGACCCCGAATAGCCAAAGCAATGTTGAGAATGAAAAACGCAGCTGGAGGAATCAGGCTCCCTGACTTTAGAGTATACTACAAAGCTACAGTAATCAAGACAGTATGGTACTGGCACAAAAACAGATACATCAATGGAGCAGGATAGAAAGCCCAGAGATAAACCCACGCACATATGGTCACCTTATCTTTGATAAAGGAGGCAGGAATGTACAGTGGAGAAAGGACAGCCTCTTCAATAAGTGGTGCTGGGAAAACTGGACAGATACATGTAAAAGTATGAGATTAGATCACTCCCTAACACCATACACAAAAATAAGCTCAAAATGGATTAAAGACCTAAATGTAAGGCCAGAAACTATCAAACTCTTAAAGGAAAACATAGGACACTCTATGACATAAATCACAGCAAGATCCTTTTTGACCCACCTCCTAGAAAAATGGAAATAAAAACAAAAATAAACAAATGTGACCTAATGAAACTTCAAAGCTTTTGCACAGCAAAGGAAACCATAAACAAGACCAAAAGACAACCCTCAGAATGGGAGAAAATTATTTGCAAATGAAGCAACCGACAAAGGATTAATCTCCAAAATTTATAAGCAGCTCATGCAGCTTAATAACAAAAAAACAAACAACCCAATCCAAAAACGGGCAGAAGACCTAAATAGATATTTCTCCAAAGAAGATATACGGACTGCCAACAAACACATGAAAGAATGCTCAACATCACTAATCATTAGAGAAATGCAAATCAAAACTACAATGAGATATCATCTCACACCAGTCAGAATGGCCATCATCAAAAAATCTAGAAACAATAAATGCTGGAGAGGGTGTGGAGAAAAGGGAACCCTCTTTCACTGTTGGTGGGAATGTAAATTGATACAGCCACTATGGAGAACAGTAGGGAGGTTCCTTAAAAAACTACAAATAGAACTACCATATGACCCAGCCATCCCACTACTGGGCATATACCCTGAAAAAACCATAATTCAAAAAGAGTCATGTACCAAAATGTTCATTGCAGCTCTATTTACAATAGCCCGGAGATGGAAACAACCTAAGTGCCCATCATCGGATGAATGGATAAAGAAGATGTGGCATATATATACTATGGAATATTACTCAGCCATAAAAAGAAACGAAATTGAACTATTTGTAATGAGGTGGATAGACCTAGAGTCTGTCATACAGAGTGAAGTAAGTCAGAAAGAGAGAGACAAATACCATATGCTAACACATATATATGGAATTTAAGAAAAAAAAAAGTCATGAAGAGCCTAGGGGTAAGACAGGAATAAAGACACAGACCTACTAGAGAATGGACTTGAGGATATGGGGAGGGGGAAGGGTAAGCTGTGACAAAGCGAGAGAGAGGCATGGACATATATACACTACCAAACGTAAGGTAGATAGCTAGTGGGAAGCAGCCGCATAGCACAGGGAGATCAGCTCAGTGCTTTGTGACCGTCTGGAGGGGTGGGATAGGGAGGGTGGGAGGGAGGGAGACGCAAGAGGGAAGAGATATGCGAACATATGTATATATATAACTGATTCATTTTGTTGTAAAGCAGAAACTAACACACCATTGTAAAGCAATTATACTCCAATAAAGATGTTAGAAAAATAATATTAAAAAAAATGGAATACAAAGACATAAAGTCTCTAACAAGATAAGCAGGTACAAAGAAATCCAGGAAAATATTAAACAGAAGGATATGTTTATCAATTCAAAGCAGGCTTTCAACATACTATATTACTATACTACAGAAACCAGTTATCTACTAATTGTTTTTTTAAAGTAGGACCTAAGACGCAATTTGCTAAAAACAGCAACTGTATCTATTAAAAAGTCATCTTATATTCATGTATCAGAGGAAAAAATTACTATAAGAATCAGGAAAGGCTATTAAATCATCACACACATGAAATCTGAACAACAGTTGCTAAAATACAGAAAATAAACATTTTTTTCAGCCTAAGATAAAGTCTTTATATTTTATTAAAGATCATTATGAAGGAAGGAACACAAATCAGGTCATTCTCAAACCCTTCTTCCCCCTCAAAGACACAGATTGTGCTTCATTCTTCATTGAGTTCCAAGTGTTGGGCATAATAAAAATACTTAGTGAACATCTAATGATAATAAAAATGGTACAAAACCTTTAAATATAACTTTCAAAAATATTCTATTCTGCCATTCTACTCTTTCTTTCCCACGAACCAAATCAGTTAAGTCTGGCTGGGGATAAAATTTTAACACAGTTTACCCTCTAATATCAAAACAACCGATAACCCCAATCCTAACACTCAGGGGTTCCTACAACTAGTATCCATTAAATCAGCTTGTTCCAATCAAAAAACTATCCATTAAAAATCACCTCCAAATCATACAGTCTATGACATAACTCAAGAATAATCTCTTATCAGAAAAAGTGATATAAGCCATAAAGAAACCCTATTTCTTGGAAACCAAGAAGCACAATTATGCTTAGTTATGACTAAAGCTGAACCACACTTACTTTAAATATTTAGATAAGTCATCACTCAATTCTTTAGGGATGTAATCCGATATCAGACCATGGGCATAACAAATATAATCCTCTGAAAGAAACAGAATGGAGAATGAAAAAAAAATTAGTAATAATTATGGTAGTTTTACAGTCAAATTGACCAGAGTTCAAATTCTGGCACTGTCTGGCCTTAGAGAGTCACTTAAGCTTTTTTTTGTGAAATGGGGATGCTCATATCTATCTGTCACAGTAGTGGGGTAATCTGATGGATGGATATGTAGGATGATATCAAAGATATGATGAGATAATCAAGCACAATACAGTCGATGCCCACTAAATAACAGGTAAAAACTCAGGGTTCTTTTCTTAGCTGAGGCCCTTGAATACAGATAAAGTTCAAAAATCAGATGTAACAATATGAAATATTCATGTCTTTTTAAAAGACTAATCTTTTCTAGGTCTGTTTCAATATAAAATAAATCTAATTAACAGTAAATGAGTATGCTCATTTAAGAGAAATAATACATGATATGTCTCTATTAAGTACTTGCTTTATAAGAGTCCTGAATGTTATATATACCCCCAAACTAATAAAATGCCTTAAAAAACAGAAAAAAACAAAACTCAGCAGAGAGTATAATCATTACTTCTAAAGTATTTGGATTCTCAGTACTAAAATGAAACTCTGGTATCAATTAAATACAGAACATAAGAGAAAATCTGTTTTAAAGCTCTGTTCCTTAATTCAGTATTTTTTGTAGAATACTAGGGGATAATCAAACTTAATAGATGGGATAATCACAAGGGGATATAAACTACCAAAAGCAATATCCCAGGTTTGTTGCTGGGATATTCATTTTCTTCTTTTTTTCCTTTCTCTTCTACCTTCAACGTTAGGATAACAATTTGCCTCAGTATTACTTAGGAAGTGACTGCTGCCTGGTCCACCTCATTCTCAAAAAGTCTTCAGTAAGAGATTTTCACTGCCAGCACAGAACTGAAAGTTATCACTGGACCCTTCTTAAAATATGCTCATGGTTCTGAGTTAGTAATTATCTAATGAGTCATGAATAGACAAAGAAAGTTATTTTAAGAAAGCCAATGTATCATCTGTTTGCTTCTTCTGGTAGCATATCAAGCTAAAGATCTAAAAAAGGAAAGAATGCAGAGTATAAAGCTTACGTTATGGCTGGGAACCTAAATGGTCATGTAGCCAAGCCCAGACTCATATTTAGAGATTGGTACAAACACTGGCCTCAGAGCAGAAGACCTGGCCTGCTAGCTAGGATGGGTGACCTTGAATAAGTCATCTGCTTCTCTAAGACCACAGGTTTTCATTTTTAAAATGAGAAGATCTGTCTAAATAACCTCTAACACCCCTTCTCCTACTTTAACAAAAATCTATGGTTTTATCCATCCATCCATCCATCCATCCATCCATCCATCCATCCATCCATCCATCCATGCATCTGTCTATCTGTCCAGCCATTTGACTCAGTCCCTTCTCTTCTTTTGTTAAAGCCAATCAAAGACACTGATAGCTGGTAAACTCAGATGTCAAGGGCAAGTCTACCACTCCCAGAATGGCAGGAGCCAGCTATTATCTATATGTACAACGTACTGTAAGGTGGATTTCTGCGAGTCGAAGATTGCCTGAATTACCAACAGGCCACCGTTCCTAGTTCTTTTTTTTTTTTTTTTAATGATGAAACTCTGATGTTTTGGAGTTGTATACTGGAACAGGGGAACACTGAATTGGAGCTTAAAGTCAGAATAATGTCTGTCCTACCATTTCAGAAAGTTAATTGTATTAGATAGCTGTTTTTATTCAACTACACATATAAAAATAAGAGGACACTACACTGTAAAAAAGCAAAAAATTTACCTTAATAACCTAAAAGAAAAAACTGCCAATTGAATAAAGTTTCATCTAAAATCAAAATACTGAGACCTACAGTAGGACCTATGCTTCTTGAGAGTAAGATGCAAACAGATACAGCTCATTGGAAATTCTTGTGCCACACGAACAGTACAACAGGAAGGTTATGAGTGTGGGCTTAAGAGTCAGGCAAGCTCCATTAGTAGCTCAGCTCTACCATTTACTAGCTGTGTGACTTTGGACACAGCCTCAGGACTCTCACTGTAAAATGAGACTTAGATGGAGGGTCAGATGGGCTAATGTGTGCACACTGGCAGCTTAGTAAAAGGCTTGGCACACAACACACCCTCAATAAATGATAGCCAGGGTTGTTAGGGCTGTTATTACTGTTAGCACAAAATATATATTTCTTGAATGAATGATTTAAGTATCAATTAGTGAAAGAAGTGAACTACGGCAGAAGTACTACTTGGTTCTGAAATAAAATGCACACCTGCCACAAGATCTATGAGAACACATCGGCAAGAATGTGAAGCTTCTGAGACATTAAGATTTTAAAATCATAAGACTGGCATTTACTCTGGTCAGCAACTTACTCCAGACAAAAATAATTTCTGATGAAATGATTTACTTACCTTCCTTGTCACTGGAAACCGGGTCACCAGAGAAAAATGCAGTAGACTGTACCCGGGCACCGACATTTACATTATTGGTTTTTAACGCTGCCATAGTCTGATTAACCTATGAAATAAACGAAAGGGGAATATCAGGGTATATTCAACTAACTTTAGAAACCCCATGACTTTCCAGACAGTCCTCAATCCAGTTAAGATCCAGGAAGAAGTAGTTGAGGATCTAGAAATACCTTCACCAGATATCACAAGATGAGAGATAGCTGCACATCTGAAGAAAGGTGAAGGGTAGTAACAGCACTACGGGATGAGCTCAGTACATGGACTTCCTAAGGCCTACACAATATGAGAGCACTGACTCTGGAGGCAGGCTGCTTGGGTTTGCTCTGTGACCATGGGCTAGTTACTTAACCTCTCTGTGCCTCTATCTATGAGAGGGGGATAAAGATAGTACCTATCTCATAGTACTGTTGTGAGGATTAAATGAGTTAATGTACGTTAAGCTCTTAGTACAGAAAATGGCACAAAGCTTATATGTAATGATTTTCTAAATAGAATAAATAATATAAATTTCTCACTTCCTAGGAATTTAAGAAAGGAAACACAATCAATAAACATAAACCTCACTTTGCTATTTTGTGTCATTATCATTTGCTAAGAGCAAAAACAAAATGCCAAGTTTCTGCTCAGTACTTCTCATTCTTCACCTACACAGAATTCTACTAATGCAAATACTACTTACCATTAAAGCAAATGAAAAGTGAAACATGGGTACTTTTCAAATCTTTTCACCACTCTGTACATAAGAACTTGATTAATTCTGCAAGGTTCATTTCTATGTTCCCAAGTTCCCAATGTGCTCAGTAACATGATATTACAAACATGTTTTTCACATACAAGATAGAAGAGAATCTTAGGAATCAGTACTAGAACTGGTATCCACTGAACTTACAAAAATTTTGTCATCCATAGATCTGGTCTGGCGAGATTCTTTGTCACGGTGAAAGTGTGCAATATCCTTAGACCAGTAGCTTTTTTGTTTTTTCCTTTACTATACCCATAATAAGAAACACACAGCAACCCAATACCCCAAAACATATATAAGTACGTTTCATACAGTCATACTTAATACTTGCCCATACTCTGTGCTATCTTTTAATACATCCTATCCTATTCTATTCCATTCCATTCTAAGAGAAATACTGACTGTGACCCACTAAATCGATTTGAAAAACACTGCCCAAGACCTTATATTGGTCTAATTCTTAGGATCACTAAGATACAGGGTTTGCCTGGAAGATGACCCCTCTTCAGCATCCAGACACTAAGCCTGAATCCCATCTGCCTGGTCCCCTGTGGGTCACGCGTGAGCAACGTCGACCTCTGAGACGCCTATAGGACTAACAGCATCAAGTGCACGTAGCCCTGGTATCACCTGGCTTGAAAGACTCAAGTCTACACCAACAAATAGCAAGAACTTCTTCATTCTCACTGGTGAGGACCACAGGGAAATGGGGATGCAGGTCAAAGGAACACATCAAGCTAAAACGATACATGAATTAGGGAGAATGAAAAGCCAAAGATTCTTCTCCCACTTGGAGGTCTTTGTACAGCTTCTCTCTTGCAGTTGGTGTTCAAGATGGTCTTTGGGGTCAGGCTTACTACCTTCTCTAAATATGTTTAAAAAGGAGCATTAAACTCTTTCTGCCACAAGGCATTGGAGCGGTACCGTACCTTTTTTTCCAGCCATTTTAATGTCTTCTCTTTGCTGTACTTGTAATATTTCTTCTTGTCTATTTCTGGATTAAATTAAAAGAAAAAAAAAGACAGTGCAGTGGATTAAACAAAAAATAAACTCGTAAGTTTATATCGTATACAAGATAACAGTTTTAAAATATTTCAGGGAATTCCCTGTCAGTCCAGTGGTTTGGACTCTGCTTTTACTGCAAGGGCCTGGGTTCAATCTCTAGTTGGTGAACTAAGGTCCCATAAGCCGTGAGGTGTGGTAAAAAAAAAAAAAAAAAAATCCTAATATTTTACACTTTTGAAAAACTCAATTTATAACCCTGGGAACATACTTGAGACATTAAAAAAAATCCCTAAACAGAACTGGGATACCTCAGATCTCAACCAACTATTAAATGAGTGGAAATTTAAGAAAGTTATCAAATTATACAAACTGTCCTTATCAGGAGAAATTTTTTTTCCCTTCTTTTTATTGTATCTATACGAGATGGTGGATGTTAACTAAATCTACTGATAGTCATTTCAAAATATATGTAAATCAAACCATCATTTTGTACAACTTAAACCTACACAGTAATATATGTCAATTATTTCTCAATAAAACTGAAAACAATTCTACAGATAAATCTGGAGGAAAGCTAATTTTTTAATTGAAGTATAACTGACATACAATATCATATTAAGTTTCAGGTGTAGTGATTTGATATTTATACACATTCTGAAATGGTCACCACAATAAATCTAGTCATTGTCTCAAAAGGTAATTTTTAAAACTCAGCAAATTAACATACCGAGCAATCTTAATTTTTCTGAATAATTTTAAGCTCACCTCAATGTTTTCAATGAAAGACTCCTTTTGTAAAATAAAAACGGAAATCCCAAGAAAGAAAATTGAAGCTAAATGCAGGTGCCTATGAAGTTCATTGCATTCATTCAGGAAAAGAATCTTTTTAACTATTTAGTGCTGTTCTGGTGGGATTAGTGGAGAAAGAAGAAAAGATATATCTATCTTTCAATGTATTACCAATATAGCCATAGCTATTTCAGGGGAATTTAGAGTAATGATAGGCTCAATCTGGCCCTTTATGGAGATAAAAGTTTCATCTCATATAAATTATACTTCCTCTCCTCACAATCCAGCTAGCTTTATGTAATCTAACGACTTAATGTCATACATGGTATATGATATTAAGCCGTTATTTCCTTGGTAACACTTCATTCACAGGGTTTCTTGCTTTCTGTGCAGTCAGCAGACGCAGCTCTTCCACTCCGGCCTCCCGCCTCCATGCAGGAGTTACCTTCGTGACCACTGGAATTCCCACGACCAGATGCAAACTCGCCACATGTGACTCTGCTTGAATTACACAGAATGACGCTTTCTCTTTCCTCATGATCATGGTGGGAAACGGAAACTGCTTGTTCAGGGGTGGTTTTCAGCAATCTGTTAAACTGCTTGAAGTTTCACTGAACGGTTGGTATGGGGAAGGGCTGGCCTGAGCTCTTGCACATTTCCTCCCCATTTCAGCCTGTGGTCGTCAACACTGTGGGCAATAGGAGGTGGATGGAGTGGGTGCTGGACCTTTGCACCCATCTCCTCAGGACACGTCACTGGAATAATGAAAATGAGGGACCCACTTCTGGCATTGCCAGAAGTTTGAGAATTCCAAGGCGCAATGCCTGCTCTCCTGGAGCCAGGACTGCTTGGCAAACAGCGTGCTGTGGAACCAAGGCAGATGAGGCTAGACTCAGCCTCCCTGGAGGTGATATAATATTTCTTTGTACAAAAATAGGGAGAATTCTAAGAGCATACAGCAGTCACTTAGAACATGTATGCTGCTGAATGAGTCTCAGACGTTCTGATCATTGCCTGAGACAATCTCGATAGAGGCTCAGTGGTCAGGTCTCTCCCAGGAATCCCACCTTGACTCTGCCACTCACTTGTCTCTTGTCTCTACCTCCAAATTTCCTGAAAAGACATTCTACAACCTGCCATAGCTTTCCTCCCTCTCGTTCACTCTCTGAGCCCCTTGCAGGCCCCTTCTTTCCCTCTGGAAATGTTGGTTCAGAAGAAGTGGAGACCAGGCTATGAGCCGTACTGCTGGGGCTCCTACACCCCCAGCGCACGATGTCACCTCAGGAAGTCACCTATTGAATGAGGTGATGGCACAACATCTGGCACACATCAAATACTTAGTTATGAAAAAATTAAATTATAACTTGTTAATGATAATAACATCAGAGTCTAATGTATAGTCAGGCCTGTGCTAAGTTCTTCATACACAGTTTCTCACTGAATGCTCAGAATGAATCTCAGGTAAAAACTACTATTTGTCCCCATATTAAAAAATTAGGTTTGAGTGAAGTTAAATAAATTGTCCAAAGTCACTGAGCTGGTAAACAGGAGCATGGATTCCTTCCCAACCTGACTTCAAAGCCGTGCATCTGGTGTTCATTTTACTGAGATCAATTAGTCCTCACCCCACTCAGTACTTCCGCCCCTATTCCTTATGGGAAAAGACTCTCCACCATGGACCTATACAACCTTTCTCTTGGTCGTTCTGCATCTCTAATGGCTTTTCCTCTGACTCTTTTCCGGCTCCACTGCCTCCTCCTTGGACGCCAACTTGTATCTCTCTCTGGGCATGACTTCATCCTGTCTTAGCAAGACTAAACCCATCCAGGAAGCCCAGAGCCCCGAGCTGAGGCTCTGTGTGTCATCTTCCTCCCAAATCACCTTCCTGATCGCCCAGGCTTGAGTCACTTCTGCCTTGCTTCCCACTGGATTCCGTGGGAGACAGGAAGGAGCCAATATTATCTTGTAGAGAACAACGAGGGAGGAAGAATCAAAACAAACAAACAAAAAAACCCCAAAACAAACTGTGTCTGAAATCAGGAGGCTTAGCTTCTTGTGCTAGATCAGTTCTACTTCATTTTTTTAAAAAAACAACTGTATTTAGGAATAATGTTCGTATGATTAACACACCCATTTTTGGTGTACAATTTGAGGAGTATGGCCAAATGTCTACATACAGTCATGTACCCACCAGCCCAAGAAGTTCCCCTGAGCTTACAGTCAATTCTTTCACCCCTATCCAGACCTCAGGAAACCACTGATCTGCTATGATTACAGAATTGTTTTTGCTTTATTCTAGAACATCATAGGAATGGAATCATACAGTAAGTACTTTTTTGTGACCCTCTTCTTTTGCTCAACACAATTTCTGTGAGATTCTTCCATTTTGCTGCAGCTAGCAATAGCTCTTTCCTTTGTATTATGGAGTAGTATCCTGTGTATGGATATCCCATGTTTTGTATACCCACTCACCTACTGAAGGGCATTTAGGTTGTTTCCAGTTTTGGGCTATTTTGAAAAAGTTGCTCTGAACATTCTTGCACAAATCTTTGTATGGACATATGTCTTCATAACTCTTGGGCAAATACCTAGGAGTAGCATTACTGAGTCGTAAGAAATTGTCAAGTGGTTTGACCATTTTATGCTTCCACTAGCCAGGCAGGTGAGTTCCCGTTGTTCCATAACTTACTGGTAGTGTCTGTCTGTTTTATTTTAGCAACTCTGGTGGATATCAGTGATATTTCCCTGTGATTTTAATTTACATTTTTCTGGTGACTAATGATATTGAACATCTTTTCATGTGCCTTATTCATAAATCTTCTTTTGTGAAGTCTGTTCAAACCTTTTGCTGATTTTTCTACAGGGCCGGATATCATCTTATTATTGTGTTAAAAGAGTTCCTTTTACATTTATATATATCTTTTATCAGATATATGTCATATAAATATTTTCTTCCAACTGTGACTTGTCTTCTTTTCTTAATAGTATCTTTCAAAGACCAGAAGATATTAATTTTAATGACATGTAATTTATAATTTTTTTGTATGGTTAGTAGTTTTTGTGTCCTATGAAATCTTTGCCAATCCTCAAGGTCACAAAGGTTTTCTTCTGTGGCTTCTTCCAGAAATTCAATAGTTTTCATTTTTGCATTTAAATTATTGATCCATTTCAAGTTAATTTTTCTGTATGACTCTGAGGTGAGAGTTAATTTTAATTGTTTTTCATATGGATATCCAATTTTTCCTGGTTATTTGTTGAAAAGATTATCCTTTCTCCCATTAAATTATCTTGACACTGTTGGAAAAAAAAAACAATTGGCTACATAAATGTGGGTCTACCTCTGTTCTATTTGGTTCCATTTATCTATCTGTTTAAGCTTATACCAATGCCATAATTTCTTTATCATTGTAGCTTTACAGTAAGTCTTGAAATCAGGTTGTGTAAGTTCTCCAACTTTGTTCTTCTCTTTCAAAATTGTTTTGGCTACTGTAGATCCTTTGCACAGTCATATAAATTCTAGAATCAGCTTCTCAGTTTCTACCAAAAAAAAAAAAAGCCTGATAGACATTCCATTAACTCTATAGATTACTTTGGAGAGAATGGACATCTTAACAATATTAAGTCTTCTAATTCATGAACATGGTATATCTCTCTACTTATTTAATTCTTTAATTTCTCTGCAATGTCTTGTAATGTTCAGTGTACTGGTCTTGCATATTTTACGTTTCATTTATCCTTACAACTTCATGATTTTTTATATTATAAATGGTGTGCTTTTATTACACTGTCCAATTGTTCACTGCTATTATATAGAAATAGAATTTTGCTATATTGACCTTATATCCTGAGAACTTATTAGTTCTAGTGATTTTTTTTTTTTGGTAAATTCTTTGGAGCTTTTTACATACATGACCATACTGTTTATGAAAAAAAGATAGTTTCACTATCTACTTTCTGATCTGCATAGCTTTTATTTATTTATTTATTGGCATGTGGGATCTTAGTTCCCTGACTAGGGATTGAACCCATGCCCCTGCAGTGGAAGCATGGAGTCTTAACCACTGGACTGCCAGGGAAGTCCAAATTTTTTTCTTATCTTATTGCAAATGCTAGGATTTCCGCTAGCAGGATGAGGAGTTGATATCCTTATCTTGTACCAATCTTAGGGGAAAAGTGTGTTCAGTCTTTTACAAGTATGATATTACTTGCAAAAGTAATGAAGTATGATATTAGCTTATGTTTGTCATGGATGTCCTTTACCAGAAGGAAGAAGCTCCTTCCTATCTCTAATTTGCTGAGAATTTATATTATGACTGAATTTTGTCAAATGTTTTGTTCTGCATCTACTGGGATGATCACAGTTTTCCTTTTGTAATGTATAAATATGGTGACTCATACTGATTGATTTTCTAATGTTCAACCAACTCTGCATTCTTATGATAAACCTCACTTGGTTATAATGTACTATCCTTTTTACATAGTTAATTTGCAAATATTTTTAAAGGATTTTTCCATCTATGATCATAAGGGATACTAGATTAGTTTTCTTTTTGTAATAACTTCGATTTTGGTATTGGGGCCATTCCAGTTTCATAAAATTAGTTGGGAAATATGCCTTCTTCATTTAATTTCTAAAAGAATTTGACTAAGTATCATTATTTCTTTGAGTATTATTTTTTTCTTAAAGTATGGTAGAATTCACCAGTGAAGCCAGCTGGGCCTGGAGTTTTTTTCCTAGGAAGTTTTTAAATTACAAATTTATTTCTAACTAAACATTCCCCTGGACAAGATGATCACTAAGAAGTACCAAGCTTGAATATCCCAAAATACTATATAAGGATGAAGTGCATAAACTACTGTTTAATTTTAAAATTTACACATTTTGATAAGCAAGGTGGTTTAAAATATTCACGAAGGCCACAGATTACCCACAATTATGAAAAATACCATAACATGTTCTATTGTGTCCTAAATTTAATATTTGCGAGTTTGTGAGTTAGATGACATGTGCACATGCTGGAAAGGTTTCTTTCCCTAATGTGTCTGGTGCCTATAAAACTGGTCTCAAACATCTGGAAAGATTGGGTTTACAAAATAAAGATGGAATAAAAAGGAGTCCACAATTAAATAACATGTTCAGCAATTGGGTAATCAGTTCACAAACTTGAATTTCCCTGATGTATTGTTGAACAAACTGCCTGAAGCAGATTTTCACATCTACTTTCTGAATGTTTTCCATAACTGAGAAACTCATATGGTCTCTTTTTCTTTTTCCTGCCTCCTGGGGATAGAAACTTGGCAACTGTGCTTGGGGTATTTTAATCAGGTAAGTTTTCCTGGCTCTTCCTGTTAATCACAATGAACAGCACAGCATAGCTTTTGCTTGCAATATGAAACAGAGTATTATACTCAAGATGAAGTTCATAACCCTTTATTAGTCCTTTCCCCTGTCATCTCTCCACTGAATGGGAGCTTTTTTGGCAAGAAGCATGCTGAGCCCCAGAGCTAGCAAACTGAGACACATCGTTTCCTTCACTAATAAAGCAGGCAGTGCTAACTAACTAAGGTCACCACCATCATCATTCAGGATGCAAACAACTGTGGCTGGGTTTATTCGGCAGGGAGAAGGAAAGGTTCTCATAAACCTAGCAGGCTTAACGAGATCTTTAATGCCACAGACTTTTGAGACAGCATCTGGAGTCCAATATCAAAATAGCTGGCTGGGGAATTTGAGCATTTCGGGTTTTTACTCTCTCTGCACAGTGCCTGTGGGGAGGATGGAATTGAAAAAACATCAACTTTCCTCTTTATCTCTGCTCCCTGTCACGGGTAGTACCTGACCACTCTTTAGCAGTCTTCTTTGTTTCTTAGTTAAAAACCCTAGCAATAAAATAAAGAAAATGGAACCAAATACTAACTTAAAAATAGACAAAAATCTAATTCAAACAAGCAGCCAGGACCCAAGGCAATCACTAAAAGAGGATGCCTGGAAAACAGAACGCTCACTGCCAGGATGAGAATTGTCTTTTCCTTAAGCTGTAGAAGTTCCCACTGTCTCCTTTCCTGTCTCTCTCTTTGTCTCACAAAGAGACATTATTAATGGGATATACAAGACTAACAAAAAATTAAGTTTCTATTTTTACATGAGACAACACCTAAAAACTCTAAGAGTCTCCTGGAAGCGTTACACAGTTGTAAGAAGGAAGAGGAAGAGTTGCCATCAGACAGACATGGGTTCAAACCTTGATTTTACCACTTCAAGTTCTATGATGTTAGTCAATGTGCTTAAACTCTTTGAGCTTCAATTTCCTCATTTGTAAAAATTCTGGTTCTACTAACAATGAAAGGGAATTACTGCAAGAATTCAATAACATACGTAAAACAACAAGCATAGAGATGATATATAATAATTTGTTAATATATGGTAGACATTTTTATTATTATCTGATTATCCCCATTCTCCTACTTAAACCACTTGACTCTGTATTAATCAATGGACCATCAAACAAATGTGCATTGGTCACTTACTGTATACCTAGTACTTAAACATCAGCAAAGAATTTAAAATTTCTAGTTCACAAGCCTTAATGGTACAAACATTTATTGAGCACTTACTCTACACCCAGCACTCTCTGGGCACTGATTTACTTGTATGATTTCATTTAATTCCTAAAGCATCTCTTTGTGGTAGATAGTAGATACTATTAACTGCAATTCTTAAATAATGTTCATATGCTGTAATTTAGAGATCTCAACACTCTAAAGGCAAGAGAAGGAAAGCTTTATTTTATGATTTAGAACAACTTTGCAGAGTACTAATTATAACATATGGCAGAGGGATACACTTAACCCTTCATCTCACAGATCAAGGATGCTGAAAAGTTTGAATGATTTGCTCAAAACCATGTAGCAAATACATTCTTAATTTTTCTTGTAGGTTATCAGATCCTGTGATCAGATTACCAGATTGTTCCTAAAGAAATTCTTTCCCTGAAAGAGATATGAAGCAAAAATAACAAAACATTAACACTGGTTGATTTTGCGGTTGGAGACAAATATTTGTAGCTTTTTCCCGAGTTTTTCTGTACCTTTAAATTTTTTGATTAAAAAGACTGCCTCCCTTGCCCATGTACTTTCATTTACAAAGCAGTTATATCATCAACCTTTATACATGCCAGGTTTCTAAAAACCCTAGGCCTCAAATTTTTCTTTCCTTCTTTTTTAATGACAGTAAGGCAAAACAAAGTAATTTAGGTTAAATTTCGCAGGTAAAAGATGTATGCAATTCTCTAGAAGTCTTGGCAGTTCCTTCATAATTTAATTCTTCCCCTAATGAACTACATTCTGTAAATCTTAAAATAATGGAAGGTTCAAAAACAAAACAATTTTTTTTCTGCCCGTGCTGCGCAGCTTCCAGGATCTTAGTTCCCCGACGAGGGACTGAACCTGGACCCTCGGCAGTGAAAGCACGGAATCCTAACCACTGGACTGGCAGGGAATTCCCCCCCCAATTTTTTTAAAACAAGAAATAATAAGATCTCTAATGCCTCAACCTTCAAAAAGGCCTCTTCATCAAAACAGAAGCAATTCCACATCGCTTGCTTCACCCCTTGATGCAGAACACAAATATGTGAAATATTTTTCTTCATGTCATTTCTGTATACAAGGACAGCATACTAAGACAGACATCATTTTCCACAAAGATCCAAAGAGAAACACACAGTAGCTTGAAGTTTACAACTGGTTATTTAGAGCTGGTCAAACAAGACAAGTGTAGGGCATTCACTTTCTATTACAGCAGAACTTCCAAAAGTTAGGCGATGTTGAGAAGTGAAAGAGATTAGGACAGGAGTTCAGATAATGATTCACCAGACGGTCAGGGGGTCAGTGAGCAAGGAGGAAGGAATGGAAGTGAGGGAAGCTCCTGCTCTGGAACACAGGCTGTACACTAACAAATGACAATGCTTTAATACTATTTCTGAATTTGGGCTGCTGGGTTTTGGTTTCAGGCAACTGTTCTTATACAGCTATTGGAAGATTTTTGGCTAATGAGTTAATCGTGTTGTCAGCTTCCATTAACTTGGCAAAATGAAAATGACTTGTAATTATTCCTCACTGCTTTAGCTTTCAGAAATGGCTATGAGCTACTTCATTTGTCACCCACAAAAAGATTACTGTCTCCTGCCAAGATCAGCACCAGGGAGTGTCATTAATAGCGCTGCTTTGATAAAAACCTGGGCACCACATACCCCTCAGGCTCAAAACAGAGCTCTGTGTCTGGCCAAGTGTGAATTTAGTAGACCCTTCGAATGTGAAATGCAATGAATGAGGTTTTCCCTTTTTCCACCGTAAGCTTACACTTCTTGGAGTCACCACTTTCTTGGTCCTAGAAGAACTACCACAGTTGGCCAAACCATCTAGAACCCCAAATAACCATAACTTATCAGCCTGCTGTTTCGGTTCTCACACTGTGTTTCCGTATTAACTCTAAAACTACGTGGATGATTTTTGGAGACACTGATGCTAAGTCTGAATGCTATTACAAACCTGTCAAAACACATTCACACACTGCCTCACTTCCTCCTCTCAAAATTCAAATGAATGCCTACAACTCATCTCTGTCACCCCCAGCCTGCTCCTCGCACCCATGTCCCCTGTCTCCAGGGGGCCATCTCTACCCATTCTGTGGGTCAAGGCACAAACCCAGAAGCCATCCTTGATTCCTCCTTCTCTTGACCATCATCCAGTCAACACACGAGGCTGCTACTTCCTTCTGGTTCCACCTCCTAAGCTCAGGTGACCATCACCTCCCGCCTGGACCACAGCGGCAGCCTCTGGGGACCAGACCTTAGCTTCTCCACACAATAGCACTGCCCTACTTAAAACTTTGCTGACACTCCACTACCATTAGGTCAAGTCCAGACACGTATAAGGCCCTTCACCACCTGAACCCTTGCGCAGCACTCTCCCCTGTTCTTTCCTTACTAACCTAAACGCATCACTGAACCTCTTGGATCTTGCTAAGCATGACAAACTTTTCCATACATCCATGCTGCTACTCTGACTTAGCCTCCACTTAGAGGTTATCTCCCACAGGAAAGCAACACAATACCCCCCTACCCGCACTTCCCACCCTACCTAAGCCAGGTTATAAACCTGTCCTGTGCGTCCCCACAAAACCCCGAGTTCACGTCCCTTATTCCCTACTGTCATTGCCCTACTTGTCATTTGTCTCCATCAGAGTAGAAGCAAAGTGAGGCAAAGGATAATATTTTATTTATAACTATCCCTAGAGCCTGGCTCTAGTGCTCAACATATGCTTCTTAGTAGGTGCTCAATAAATGTTTCTTGAATCAATAAAGGCATAGATTTTATTCAATTTTACAAATGAGAAACCCGAGGCAGAAAGCAGTTGAGGCACTTACCTAAAGTCACAGCCTAGTTGAAAGAAGAGCTGAGACTAAAGCCTGAGCCTCGTGAATCCTGGCCCTGCAGGAGACAGGCCACCATATTTCACTGGTTCAAATTTCGCAGACTGAACAAGCCAGTGCAATAGAGGATGAATATTGACAAGTGGAAGCGAATCTGAACGACAGCTTCCCCTATGACCCACACAGAATAAGCATCACATTCCACAGGCCTTCAAGCCACTGCATTCTCAGACGGATGCCCAGCTTTTCTGGCAGCCATAAACCTGATTTCAAAGGCTGTATGCCATACCTTTCTCCTCTGTCACATGTCGAAGTAACTTCTCAAGTTCAGGAAGTTTCAGCAACAAGATGCAATTCGGAAACATGTCATCCATCACAACTTGTTCCAGGGGCTGAAACTTTCCCTGAAAAAAAGACTTTAGTCAGTCAGGATGCAAGTACTCCAGTCAACAAACTCATACATTAAAAAAAAGAGACAAAGATATATAACCTCATAGCTGGACCTTTAAACTAAATTCAAAGTCACTTGTTCCACCTAAGGATTCCCTTAACGGGACAGGCTCCAGAACTGACTCTAGGCTCCCTTTAGGAAGCTCTTGAAAGCGCCTGGGTTCCATCAAGTGGCAAGAAATGTTTTAATTTAAATGTTCTCTTTTTTCTTCAGATAGTAAGAATAATTCACAGGTTTCCCAAGTTACTGTCTTTAGATTCCTACCTTAATCTATATTCTTCCATGATCACCCAATGTGTTAAATATTTAACTACTTTAAAGTAATATTTTACTAATATGTAATGGACTACCACACAGTATTGACATCATCATTTCATAATACACTAATGTTTCATTCTTGTTTTCTTTACCATATATACATAAAAAGGTTTTGCAATAAGAAATTTGTTTGAATATAAAGTTAATAACAGTTGGGAGAGCTAGACAGAAGAATTATTTTTACTGACGTTAAAATAAATCATGTTTAACAAAGAATGGGTCAACATTTTGAAAGTACATACTAATATTTTTTTAATTAAATAGGAAAAGATCACATCTAAAATGTAGGGGAGGAAATATCTGAATGCCTCATGGGCTATTTTAAGGGGCACTTTAAGTATCTGAGAAGAGAGGGCAATGGTTTATAGTGAAAGCCAACTACCACCATGAGCTTCATTCTGCATCTGCCTCCCTGAACCAGCCACAGCACCCCCAGAGCCTCCCAGAGGGCCAGGGTGAGGATTAATTCACCAGAGTCAGGGTCTTAATGGGAAATAGGCAAACAGTTCCCCCAAATGGGGGGAGGGCCTTTAAAGGTACATCAACACAGGTATTGATACTAAGGCTGGTTGGTGGCTTCCTCCCGCTAATGTATCCTAGAAACAGCAGGAACGGGAGCCACCTGAAGTTTCCACCTTCTTCCCTGAATACTTCTAGGGCCTTCCTGGTAAGGACTAGAACCGTTTCTGCTCCTTAGAGATACACGGCTCACCGGCCTCACTGCTCGCCGTGCCCTAATTACAGCGGCTACCGCAGTAGCTTCCAGGTAAGGGGAAACATGATTAAGGAATAAAACTTCACTAATCCACAATAAAGAACACAGAATGTAGGAGAGGAGGAGAATAAGAGACGACAAGGTGCATCAGGAGAAAGCACCACCTAAAGTTTTAAGTCAGTTTTATTACTCTCAGTATTTATCACAAATAAAGCCAATATAAATACAAAACACGAGTTTTGGAGAATGGATCTAAGTACTCAGTGAGAACCCATAAGCACTTAAACTATTTGCAGACATGAGAGTGCAAAAATAAGATTCCTCTAAGTGTTTAAATAACACCCTTCCTTAAAGTTGTCATTTCGAAGATTTTCAAGCTGTGGTTGGTGGATCCCTGGGAGATACAGTACCCCTGCAGGGGGTCCACAAGCTCCAAACTATTTTCAAGCTAAGGCTACAACGCTACTTGCATTTTCACTGTGTCAACATTTGCACTGATGATTTCAATGCAAAGGTGGGTAAAAGCCTTGGCTCCTCAGCACCAGTCAGGGTGGTACCAGCAAACCGTCCAGCAGCCGCTGCACTCTTCACCGCCATGCACAAGCAGGTAAAAAAATCCCAGCTGCACTTAAGGATTTCCTTGATCAAGGAGCGAAAGCAATTTCTTTTATTTAAATCTTGACCTTGGAGTGCAAGTAGGTTAAATGCTCTGTGTGATGAAAGTCAAGTGTGGCTGAAGTACTTCGGCTGTCGCCGAGGCTCAGGAATCATCTCAAGGAAAAGCGCTGTGTGACTGTCCGAGTTGCGAGCAGAACTAGCTGCCTTTTTCTCAATTTTTTACCCAAAAGAACCACTATGAACTATGGTTATTCAGACTTGGGTACTGACAGCACATAAATGAAGTGAACCTGTCACTTCAAGGGAAAGATTGACAGTGCTTGTAGCCAACGATAAAATTTGAACTTTAAAGCAAAAATTAGAATTGTAGAGAATTTGTCTGCCACTATGACAAGCTTCCCAACACTCAGTTTTCTAAAGAGATCACTGGTAATATTAAATTAACAAAGGTGTGTGTGTGTGCGTGCGTGTGTGTGTGTGTGTGTGTGTGTGTGTGTGTAATAAGGTGTGTAGACATTTGGAAGACCCGCATAATTCAGTGAGACAATATTTTCCAAATGACCAATGCATGATATTGCAAAGTAATATGCGGGAAAGATCCAATAGATTTTAACGTAAGAGAGTGTTAAAAACCAGACAGCAGGCCCAAAATGGAGTCGTTTGTGCTAAGCCCAAACAGAGACTTAATTTAATTAGTTTCAGCTCACCCAGAAGAGGAATCTTAAACCAGCCAATCAGTAATCTGCTAACGAGCACTAGCCAGGTCATTTGCCTGATAGACGCCAGGCATGCCCTAAAGAAACGTGACGTTGCCACAACCAATCCCCCTTTAGTCTAGTTGAACTTTCTTGTTCTTATTCCCTTCTGGCTGGAAAAGTTTTTCATTTTGTACAGTTCCCTGGAGCTTCTTTCTGTCTGCTAGAATAGATGCTGCCCAATTCGTGAATCATTCAAGAAAGCCAATAAGATCTTTAAAATTTACTCATTTGAATTTTGTTTTTTAACAAGAACACGGAAAGTTCATTGACAGGGTTTCAGATTCCACATTGCAACTAACTTTTAAGAAACCACCACTTGTTGGTTTTTGGAGTAGTATCAAAGCAGAGTATCCACAACTATCTAAAAGGCTAATATACAATTCCTTCCTTTTCTGACCTCACATGTGAAAGGCTGCATATTCTTTACACACTTCCACTCAAACAGTGTATGGAAACAGACCGAATGCAGAACAAGATGTGAAAATCCAGTTGTCTTCTCTCAAGCCAGACATCAAAGAGATTTGCAAAAATGTAAAACAGTACCATACTCCTCACTGACTTTTACTGTTTGTTTCATTAGAAACATGTCATATGTTAATATATAATGGGCTTATTTTTATTTTAAAAATAATAAAATTATTTTTAAATTTCTCAGTTTCAATTTCTAATGTAGTCAATATTGATAGATAAAACACACAGGAACAAAAAGTTCTTTGGGATCCTTAATAATTGTCAACTGTAAAGGTATCCTGGGACCTCTGGCTGGAACTATTACTATTAATAAACTCTGTCTTATATCACAAAGGTAAATTTTACTCCATCTGGGATTCCTCAACTACAGCTTCCCCATTAAGGAGCTTTTGCTGGACACACCCCCAGAGTACCTGTTTCACAGTGTCTCACACAGAAGAAAATGAAAGACGATAAATCTTCTTTATTCTCTTAAGGCCTGAGGTCTTAACATTTGTACTGTATTTCAAAACTAATGAGTACGTAATGAGAATTTCATTGTTAGACTTTGTCAAACAAGTAAGGCAGATAACACAAAGGGTTAGGCAGTTCTCAGGACTCGTTGGTGAGCTAGTCCAAGATCACGATGCTGGATCTCAGGTCTGCCGATCAGTGCTCTGATCTGTACCAGCACAAGTGATATAGGTGTTGTATACCAACCAAGTTAAACCTGAACTGTGGGGAGTCTACATTTGGACCATTATAAGGAGACAGAGGAGATCATGTTAAAAAAAACAATCTATTCTGTTTCCCCACTGTTAATATCCCAAACTGGGAAACTCACCTCTCTATCAGCCTTTATAAGGTAGTGGAGAAGCAGAAACAGAGGGTCCATGGGTGTGGCAAAGTGAAGAAGACCTCCTACAGATTAAAAAGAGAATTCAACAACATGGAAAGACAACTTAGTTATTTCACCTTAATCCCAATGTGGGAACCATTCATTGAAAAATATATGTGAAATTCCAAATTCAGAAGCTCCTCCTACACAGGCCCAAGATTATGTGATTCTCTCAAAAGGCAGAACATGGTCCACGAGATTTCACTCCAAACAGCTTCAAATCCCTGGTGTGGAGAGGACAGCCAAGACACTGAACTTGATCTTTAACTTTCCATTTCTTTTTTAGAAATCATTTTTAATAGAGGCCCTCCTCTCCCCACCTCCCACCCCCTGCCAAAAAAAATAGCAGGGTTCGGGGGAATACAGACAGAATGTGAATCAGGCAAACATTAGGAAACCTGTATAAGTCTATCAACAAAGCTGCAGTAAAATGTAATTTCCTGTGCTTTTGAGGACGAAGCCATGGGAAAGCAATATTATTCCCTCTGTACGTGGCTTCTCCTATGGGCTCTGGGCTCACAGCTCTGAACTGTCAATGACTCAAAGCTCAGAGGTCGTTACCCACTCCAGAAACTACCCCATCCCTCCTCCCAAAGAAAAATGCAAGAGGGCAGAAGTCTAACAAGACTGAGCATAAGAAACTGGAATCTCTGCAGTAAGATGAGTGGTGCTCTCCACACTGAAAGGAAAAAAGGCAAATCAACTAGGCTGCCCGCGCCCCACTCTTCTCTACCACACTCCCCTCCAAGCGTCCCAGAGTCCTTCTTCCATGGAAATGAACCAGAAGAGGTATTTCATCAAAAAGAACAATAAACAATTCATCTCCAGGCTTATTAATTTGGTTTCAGGAAACATGTACTGACTTTTATTCTCTAACAGAGCAACCTACCTATACAGCCAAGAAATTCTAACCGTAAATTATATACTTGAATCCATTTCACAGTATGTTGAAAAAAAATTAAGGACGTAATTTTACATGATGACATTAGTTAATTATTATTTTTTTAAGTAGAAGAGAAGTTTATGAAACAACCTATCAGAAGCTCTAAGCTCAGTTTATATGAGGCATCCATTATATTCAGAAATTAGAAACAGGTTTCTTGTCTGAAAACAATATCCTGGTAGCCATTCTTAAAAACAGCTCTTTCTGGGCTTCCCTGGTGGTGCAGTTGTTGAAAGTCCGCCTGCCGATGTGGGGGGACGTGGGTTCGTGCCCCGGTCCGGTAAAAAAAAAAAAGCAGGTAAAAAAAAAAAAGCAGGTACCAAGTCAGACAGTCCAGGAGAGCTAATCAATCACTGCTTCTGAATATTTTCCAGTTTCATCTGATATTACTGTGTCTCTCCAGCCAAACTCAAAGGCAAGTATACTACATTAGAAGTGGGAACTCTCATATATTGCCAAATGAAAAATAAGAAAAGAGAACAATAAAAAGGAATGTATACTTGGCACCTACCAGGCTAAATACACAGTCTACCACTGCATTTCGGCAACTGAAAACCACTTCAAATCTTCTCATGCACACAGGTATATGAAATTCAACACCAGCAATAAACTCTTCTTCTGTATGCCTTACAAGAAACGCAAAGTGGCCTTTCTACCTTAGCACTAAGTGGTGACGGTCAACAGAAAGCAGAGGGCTTAGAAAGCAATGGAAAGCACTCTCTGCAAACAATGAGAGACAGAGGGACAGAGGGAACTGAGATACCCCATGACGCACCCTCCCACTCTCACCCAGAACTGTCAGGGCTACGTGTGGCATCCTTTTTCCTTCAGAGTCAACACTGAGCCCCAAATCAAAGGAACGCTCTTAAAAGAAATAGAAATTGGGTGTTGGGTGTGTGTGTTGGGGGCAGGTGGGGTGGCCATAGTAACTTATATGAGAAAGCATTCTCTTCTCTTCTCTTCTATTTTATTCTAGAAGCTATATCAACATCCATTTGCAAGGAAATAAGATGTTAAAAACTTGAAGATCCTCAAAAATGGATAAGAGCAAAGAGTTTCCAGTGAACACAATGTGCACTCCATAGTACAAAAGTCATCTGACTCGGGGTGTGTCAGTGTTTTAGGAGAAAAATCAGAATTGTTAGTTAAAAATTTCCTACCATCTAAGACACACAGTTATTGATCTAAACTTGTTTAAATCTTTCCTTTCTCCTTGATTAAACCCTGCTCTGACGCCAACAAAGAAAAACCCATGGACCAGACTCCAAACTGGGCAGACAGATGTGAAGGATGGCAAAGTCAGGGTATGTGTTAATGTAAATATATACACTAGTCACTTACCTGATTGAACTGATTCATTTATAAACCAAGAATGGTGTTTTTCCTTGAAAACTTTTATTTCAAACAGCTGTGGTAGACACACATTGAACAAGTAAATGGCTCCTTCCCCTGTTAAAACAAATCTGTTTTTTATTTGTAAGTTTTCACACACACACACACAAATATCAAAAGACTATCTAATAGTTCTGAGGAATGTTCCTAATATGAACATAAACATACATAGATATAGTCTACACAAAGTGACTCCAAGGAACGCTTGTAGCTATTACATACAGATGCTTGTTTTCCAACTGTATAATCCTCACTGAACTTAGACCAATAAACACAGAAGTACAAATCATTTATCTTAACTGCTACAGAGCCTCTCATTGAGTCCTCTATCAGATCAGGAAGGAAAACCCATTTTTAAACTACCCAAACCTAATGGCTCAGCCAGATGAACTGAGTTGGCCTGTGGGCCCTGTCTCCAGGGCGGTGTACAGCCTCCCATACAGAGGGCGGGAGACAGGGCCTGCACACCTGAGGCGAGCTCCACAGGAGAAAGGCCAGGGCCCTACAACAGCAACGTGCTTTACGCCATGAGGAGTGAGGAAAGCCACACCCAACTGGATGAAAATTTCCCTTTCTTAAAACACCAAAAAAAAAAGGAAGTTAGAAGGGGGCGGGGACTGGGCGCATCTGCATGAATCTGAATGAATCCCTCCAATGCACAAATTTTTTTTCTAAGCATAGCAAAATCCAGGGCCCTGAGTTTGAGTCTATCTCAACTACATGCTGGGCGTGAGCCCTTGGGGAAGCTATATAATCCTTTCTGTACTTCTCTCTCCATATCTGTAAAATGCGAGCAATACTGAACCTACCTCAGTATTTTCTTTATAAGGACTGAAAAGATAGAATACGAACACGTAAAGCTCCTAACACAGCACGTTAGTAAGTGCTCGGCAAAAGTTAGCCTTTATTTCTCCATAGTCAGTATAGCAAAATGTTGTCCACGGACATTTAGGTGAAATGAATTTTACAAGAAGCCTGACCTTTTTTGTACCTTCCTTTTGTTAAATGCTTTACTGATAACTAAAACTTCTCTTGAAAAAACATTTCTCACCTCATCTTAGTCTTCCATATACCTAGGAGTTCCACATAATATAACTGACCAATTACATTCAATTTCATTTTGAGGAAAAGAAAACTGGAGGAAGCCGGAATTTTTGCCTCTCTTGCTGTTTCTATTTATGTGTCTTTGCAACAACAATAACAACACGGCACTGCTCACTGGATTTCTCTTGCTTTCACTATTCAGTACGACAGTCACCAAGAGGATGCTCTAATTTGCCAAATATCAGGTATCTACTCAAAGCCTTATAAAATTAATAATAACCTTGTAAATCTTATAAAATAAACTAATGGAGAAAAATTTCACACAGAGATAAACAGTATCACCTATATTACTATATACTTAGAGTGTATTTTAATATTTTTGCCTAAAAATTATAAGACAAAGCAAAATACACTGACTATAAAGGTAAAATTGTTCCTGATAAAAAATGTATCTCCTCAAAATACAATGTTTTTAATGCAAAAAAATCACCCCTTGACAGGAAAATATATATATACTACTTTTCGGTCTGAACAAAATAAGGAAAGTACAGCTAAAAATGAAACTATTCAAAATCTTGGCATGTCCAGTAAAAGCCTTCCTTTTTTTTTTTTATAAACTCTGGTTATTTATTTTACTTTATAACATAAAATGAGTATAAATGGAGGCTAATATTGGATAACTACTTTAGGAAAAGTTGGCTTAAAAAGGCCAAGGAAAATTCATCTGTTTTCAGAGAGAAATCAAACACGCTCCATTTTTTTTTTGTTTTGCCATCATTTCTGATGAATACAGCTCTATGGATTAAATTTAAGAAGAAATAAAAAAACGTTTAAGTCAAGTGAATTATCTTAGAAGACTGGTTATGTCATTAGCTTGCTTCTGTCACCATGTAATGCTATCCTACCTTTAAAAGCTATTCAGGAAGAACAAACATACAAAGACAAATAAATATACACACTTTTCAGCTACAACGTTTTAAAAATGTTCAAGTTACCATTATCAGAGCGGGGGGAGGGGGGCAGGAGCGCTTACCTGAACACGGGTTAACCAGTTTTACAAACATAAGCCCACTTTTCATCTTCTTTGAAGCATCTTTTAAATACTCTGAAAAGAAATGGTGAGTTTGTAAAATTAAAAGACATCTGTTTTGTTGCTCACTTTACTTACTTTACTCTTTTTCTTTCTTCTGTTTTTACGATTTTTCTTCCTAAAAATTTTAGCTCTCTTCTATTGCTTATAAATTGTGTGATCTTATGCAAATTATCAACTTCTCTGTGAAGTGCAGTGGAATTTAAGGTAGTTTTAACTTACTTCTTTGAGAAGTCTGAGGAGCAGGGCTCAGAAGGGTTAAACCTTGGCTCAAGCACCCGACAGCTCTGTCACCTCAGGCAAGGGTCCTCATGTCCCGTCTCAGCCGTCACATGTATAAAATGATGATGATAATATGTACACTTGCCTTTCAAAGGATTAAACTAGCTAATTTGTTTAAAGTTCGTATATTCAGACAAACAGAAATAATAAATAATAAGTGATAGCTCTTATTATTTTTTTTATTGTTACTATTATTAAATAGAACATTTAAAAAATCAATATGTACTGGACATTCATGTTTTTTGCCCCTAATTATGATTATCTACTCATGTCCTCTGCCCATTTTTCTAGTTGAGCATTCATCTTTTTTTTTACTACTGTATTAGGAGTCTTTACACAGTAAGGATATCAAATCTGCTTTTAATGATATTTTTTTGGGGGGTGGGGGCGACGGGGCGCACCATGTGGCTTGCGGGATCTCAGTTCTCAGACCAGGGATTGAACCCAGGCCATGGCAGTGAAAGCCCCGAATCCTAACCACTAGGCCATCAGGGAACTCCCTGTTTTTAATGATTATTTCACCACTTACGAGATGTAAAATCTTTGTGTAATCTCATCAATAACTTCCTTCATGGTTGTATCTTTTGTGTTATACTTAGAAAGGCCTTCTCTCCCTCAAGATAATGTGAATTGCCCATATTTTCTTCTAGTACTTTTAGATTATAGTTAACCTATTTGGAATACATCTCTGTATAAGATATGGGGAGGAGATATCCAACTTTAATTTTTTGCAATGAGTTGTTCAGTTGTCTCCATGCCATCTAACTGAATAACCTATGCTAAGTGTTTCAAACACATTTATGAGTCTGTTTATGGACACTGTATTTTGACCCATGAATCTGTGGCTATATTAGCATTAGTACTTCAATATTTTAATTATTGTAGCTTTAAAATACATTTTAATATCTGGTGAGTTAAGTCCTCTCATTATGTTTCCTCCATGATATTTTAATGTCAAAGTTTAAATCATATAGATTAAAACATAAAGACCATGACAATTTTATTTATAACATCCTCATACATTTTGAGTGGCATATTTAAACCCATTTAAAGAATCTCTCTCCAAAAGGAACCAAGGGACTCTGATTAATAAGGGAGCAGAGCAACAATCTACCAAAGAGTAAATCAGAAAGCTCTGAGGAAGGAAGGGAACTTACAGTCACCTTTATTTTCTACAGCCCCACTCCCTTTACCCCACTTCAGATCTTCATAAACTTAAATATAGCAAGCATGTTTAGAAACTGGCTTACTGATAAATGGTGTAGGTACAACTTTTTTCTCAATAGTGACATTAAATATATAAAGAAAAAAACCCCTAATTTTGAGATTTTCACTTGCAACCAAATGGAATAACAGAAACCCAATTTAACAGCCAAAAAACAAAAATAAAAAGGACAAAATATGCAAAACAACTATTTTCAATACACTGAGGTTGAGCCATGCAGGACAGTTATCTGAGAGATGGGAAACAAATGAGGTGAGCCCTGTGATCGCCCCAGCTTACTGCCTTGAGACAGTTTCCAGGCCACGGTGCAGAATAGGAGAACCCAGGTGAAGCCTGGCTGACTCCCTGAGTTGTAGAGATGGAGCGGAGAGTTCTCAAGACACCGTGGCTAGAGTTCACAGGTCAGCATGCAGGAACTGAGCAACAAAGAGAGAAAACCCCAGAGATCAGCAAAGAGTACTGCTTGAGTAGAGTATTCAACAGAGTACTGATCAGTGCATGCACGTGATGAAACTACCTAAGGGCAGGAGAAAAACCAGCTGAACAGATTAGAGGAAACAGTATCCCACATGCACTCGGGGCCCTGCACTGGGCCTATTCCCAGGCAGACTGGAAAACCTCATAATTCAGAGGACACTGGGTACAGTACTCCAAAGGGTCTTGCCTCAGTGGTAGGGGACAGACTAGACTAAATGTTGCTCCAGTCCCACCGAACTAATTTTAAAAGCAAGACCTAAAAGAATCAAACTGTTTCCAAGTACCTCCACTGTGTCCCAGAGTGAAGCTCAAGATTATTTATAGGAATACAAAAATATTCATCTGCCAAAAAGGTAAAATTCACAATGTCTAATCAAATATTACTAGGCATTCAAAGAAGCAAAAAAATATGACCCATAATGAGAAAAATAAATAAATCAATTATTGAGAGGGGGTACTGATGTTAGACACAGATGTTAGAATGAAGAGACAAAAGGATTAAACACAGTATTCCTCATGTACAAAAAGTTAAGTAGAGACACAGAAGATTTTTTAAAAAGACCCAAGTTGAGATAAAAAATACACCAGATGCGATTGATGGTGGAAGAAAAGATTAATGAAATTGAAGACATAGCAATAGAAACTATCTAAAATGAAAACACAGAGAAAGAAGAATTAAAAATAAAGTATCAGCAAACTGTGGGACAACTTCAAGCATCCTAATAATTTATGTGTGAATTGGAGCTCCTGAAAGAGAACAGGGGGGAAACAGAAGAAGTATTTGAAGTATGGCAGAACAGTTTTGAATTTGATGAAAACTATAAAACCACACATCCAAGAAGTTCAATAAACCCAAAGCACAAAGAAACAGGAATAAAATTATGCATCAGAATCAATAGTTCAAAACCAGTAATAAAGAAAACATCTTAAAAGCAGAGAGAAAAAAATGACATCATGTACTGAAGCACAAAGCTAAAAATGATAGCAAATTTCTTATTAGAAACAATGCAAACCAGAAGACAATGGGGAAACATCTTTAAAATACTAAAAGAACACATGATGAACCCAGAGAAAATACCCTTGAAAAGTGAAGGTGGTCAATAGATTCTTTCAGAAATACAAGGGCTGAAAGAAATAATCACCAATGGACCCACATGACAAGGAATGCTAAGGGAAGTTCTTCTGCTAGAAGGAATATGAAACCCCATGAAAATATGAATCTACACAAAGGAATGAGGAACACTGGTAGTGGTGACTGCAGGGGTAAAGAATTTTTCTTACTATTTAAATATCTTTAAAGATCATTGACTAAACAAAAATAACAATTTAGTGCAGGGTTTATAACATATGCATAAATAAAATATATGACAATAATAGCATAAAGGCCAGGAAGGGAGAAATGAAAATATACCATTGAGAGTTTCCTATACTATATGTGGAATGGTGTTATATCACTTGAAGGTAGACGTAATCATTTAAATATGTGTACAGTAAACCCTAAAGCAGCCAGTTAAATTACAAAACAAAACAAAATGCTGTTACTAATACGACAACAAAGGAGATGAAATAGAATCATAAAAAGCACTCAATTCAAAAGAAGGCAGAAAGGGAGTAAAAGAAGTACAAAGGGGCTTCCCTGGTGGCGCGGTGGTTGAGAGTCCGCCTGCCGATGCAGGGGACGTGGGTTCGTGCCCCGGTCCGGGAAGATCCCACATGCCGCGGAGCGGCTGGGCCCGTGAGCCATGGCCGCTGAGCCTGTGCGTCCGGAGCCTGTGCTCCGCAACGGGAGAGGCCACAACAGTGAGAGGCCCGCGTACCACAAAAAAAAAAAAAAAAAAGTACAAAGAACAGATGAGATAATTGAAAACAAATAGCAGAATGACAGACTCAAATCTAACCATATCAATAATCACATTCAATGTAAATGGACTGAACATCCCAATTAAAAGAAATTGTCAGACTAGATAAACAAGTAAGATAAAATTATATGCTTCCTATAAGAAACACCATTTATATATAAAGATACAAGTAGATTAAAAGTAAAAGGAAGAAGATAGAGTGTGCTTATCATGCTAACACTAATTAAAGGAAAGATGCAATGGCTCTGTTAATAACAGACAAAGGATATTGCCAGGGATGAAGAAGGTCATTTTATAATGATAGAAGGGTCAGGAGGAAATAATCCTCAGTGTTTACAATCACACACACAGAGCTTCAAGATACACAAAGCAAAAACTGATAGACACTTCTGCCCCATCTCTAACCCCTGGCAATCACTAATCTGTTCTCTATCTCTAAAATGCTGTCATTTTGAAAATGTTATATAAATGGAACCATACAGATTCAATTTTAAGAAATCTTTTAAGACTTTCCTTTCTGCAACTTATAAAAATGTAAAGGATAAAGTTTAGCACTGTTAAAAACTTGTCCACAAACTAAAACAGGTTGTGGTCTTCTCTCCTTTCCCTGCCTGCTGTTTCTCACTTCCCAGCATCACATTTCTTCATTATGTCTCAAGGCACAGAAAAGGTGACCTCTCTTTTTTCAGCAATACAGCCTTTACTTTATTTCAGTATGACAGTAAATCTTTCAACTGTAACTTGGCAAATTATTATTGATTTCTGTTTTTCTTTTTTTTAATAGAAAACTTTGGTTCTAGTGATCCTTGCCAGCTCTTCCTCCAGCTTTCCCATTCCTCCAGAGCTTAAAATAATCAAACTTTACAAATATCCAAAATCTAAAAAAGATATTTTTAATAACTATTCAAGGAAAGCAGTGTTTCCATTTTTCCCAGGAAGAGCAGTAAGTCCAGAGGATTAGCTACAGCCTAAAATGTCAAACTATGAGAACTTTGGAATTACTAAGTACAAATAAATACTGACATTAATGTGTTCTGCTGCAAATGCCAGTGTTCTCTGAAATAGGCTTTAAGATATATTAGTGTAGATAACACTGAAATGTCTACGTAACAGGGGAAAAAAGTCATCTTTTCTCATATAGAGCCTACAAAACAACTAGCTGTTGGACTCAA